AATGGGGCTGTTTTGAAGTTTTCTGATCATCATCGAAGTACTCGTAACTTCCCTGATTATTATGGAACTACCGGAAAATCTCTTATCTTATTTGGACCTTCCTTCTTTCCTGGACTTTGGATCTTCCTTAGCGATTTATTTTTTTTAATTAATGAACATCAGCATTAAAGTTCTCTGATCTTCCCGATGTTAATTTTTTTCAAGTTCTCGAAACTGCCCCTTCCGTTTCCAAAATTTTCATGAACCTCTCGGATCTTAACTGAAGTTTTCGGAAATTCCTGAGCTTCTTGAAACTCATTTAAAGGTGCAGAAATTTCTTTGAATTTAAATGTACTAATGCTTCCCTAAAGTTATCTTATTTTCCTAAAACAAATGGAACTATACTGGAAAGCATTAGTTCTTTGGGCTTGTGAAGTTTCCAAAATATTTCAGTTTCCTTAAGTTCATTGGAGTTCTCTGGGCTTTCCTGAGATCCCGGGTTCTCGGATTTGAACAGTAGTAGATGAATCTGTCTTTAATTTATCGGAACCTACCCAAAAGTTCGAATTGTTCTGAAGTTTCAGAGCTTCTGAAAAGTTCCTGAAGGTTTCCTGAAACTAATGGAACCGCAATGAAACTCTGGAAGCATTTCTGTAGTTCCGGGGAAGTTGAAAAAACTGACCTTAGGAGACGGAATAACCTTTCGAGCGAAGCCAGAAGAAGCTTCCAAGGGAAGTCAAAATAGCTTTCCGGAAAGAATCGGAAAATAATTTACAGGGTCAAATGGACGTAAATTTCTGAGTTGGAAAGTTGGAAGAAATTTCGAAGGAAAAATTAAAGAAATTTGAGGAAGTTCATTAATTAACGTTTTTATGTATCTATTTTTCCACTGAATAAAAGTATTTCCCGATTTCCAGAAATTACTGGGATGAGCCATCATCTGTTTCTCGACGTAACCAAAAACGGCGAGAAAATGAAAGCATTAGTTGAAAGAGTATCAAGTATAAGGAATTTTTGAAGATGATATTTTTTTAAAGCATGCTCAACAATTTTAATTTTCAGAAAGTTAAAAGTTTCTCACAATAGTTTCCACTAACAATTCAGTGCAGGCAGGCAGTAATCATTTTGATTATTAATAAAAATCTGTATAAATCGGTATTCTGAGAAACATTATCTGTATATCGGTATCAAGTTAGAAAATCGGTATAAATACCGATACATCGGTATATCTAGCAACGCTGCGCCTTACAGTCTTACACCTCCATATTCCCTTATAATGGTGCGAACATTATCACGCATACGGTAGTTCATACTCATACATATGATTTTAAAGATCCTGGACTGGGCATGCAAAGTTTATAACGATCTGGTCACTTTCAACGATTTGCACTTTAACAAATTTGAATGTTATTTATTAAGTTTTTCGAGGACACCTATGTCGTGACCGGACCGAGGTTTCCAGCCTCGGCCACGGCTACATGAATTAGCGATGCAGCTCCCACGAGTCTGGCTGCTTCTATTGCTGCTGCTGTATCTGCTGCTGCTGCTGGTGGTCCGTCACCTCCAAAATTCGTCACAAGAATACCTTCTACGAGCTAAGATAGTCCGTATTTATACCCTACATTATTTTCATCCATTCTCAATACAAAGAAAATTTCAAAGATTGTTTTTATGTGTCCCACACATGAATTTTTGCCATGTGATCAACAAATGGTATTTCTGTGTCGGACACACACCTAATATGCATACACATAAAAGCCATGTTTGAGCACACATACTATTCATTTGACACATAAATTTCATGTGTACTTCTGTGTGGATTCTGTTTATGTTTAGTCACACGAAAATCATGTGAAATTTAACATGGAAATTTGTCAAAAAAAAAATGTGTTGAATTTTTTAAGTGTATTGGTTGCTAGCTGTGCCAGGATTTCCCCTCACGATGTTTCATGCCAACGAGATTTTACTCAAATTAAGTGTTTCATTACTCAAGTATTTTATTTCATACCTTCATATTAAGTTATCATTTTTATTCATTAATATTGCCCTCTATATACCACATTCTTCCCTTCCTCTACTCTTATTTCAATATGACCATTAAAATCATTGACTTCCCAACAATCAAATCTGCTTTGAATAATGCCATTAGTTTCAATAATAATCAAATCCAATACGGATAGCAGCTTCCACAACCTAGAGCTTAAATAGTATCAAAATTCTGCAGGATATAAGTTTTATTGTCGAATTCTCATAATTTGTAAATCTGACAAAAATTTGAGAATTCAGATTTAAGAAAACTAAAGAAAAATCGCGAGCTTATGCAAAATTCTTAAACTTCTATAATGTTTGTGGTTTAATATTCAGGGAAATAATAAAGATTTCACTCATAATGGTGATTTTACCGCCAAACATAAAAATCGCAATTCTGAAAATTATTTAATTTCTCAGCGCCCGGCTTAGAAAACAATTATATATTAATATTTAGTACTGAGAAGTTGCAGGTCAAATAACAAAAGAAACTGAATTTTTGACTCGACCTTCTCCGATTTGCATGAAACTTTGCATAATTGTTTGTTATGAGCAATCATTCACATTTTTGCTGAAATTCGGCCATCTTGTATTTTTTTTTTCAAAATGGCGGTCGAATTTTTTTAATAAATTGTAGTTGGAAAACGCTCTGTGAAAAATATACCAACACGGTATTATTTTTAGTAATTTTGAGTAAACATTCTAAAATAGTGTTAAATTCTCAAATATCTCAAAATGTCCGTGTTAAATTTATATATTTTGTTAAAAGATAAAAAATGCAAATATTTGGAATATTGGAAATTTCGACATTTGAAAATTGACAAAGATCGTAGATCAAGAAATTTTGTTAAAATTTTTAAACTTTTAGTTGATTCGCTTTTTTTATGTAATTTCTACACAGGAAAATAAACTTAAAAATCTAAAATAATAACAACCTAAAATGGTCGGGTAATAATTTTATGATTTGAACCTTATTAAAACATGTGTCTCAATGTTTCTGCCTAGTGACAAACAATGAGTCCTAAAATTAATTTTACATTTATGGTTGTAACTAAATTAGATTACATGGTTTCTAACAGGCTTGTAATTGCTCATTACAGCTAAAATGCTTTTTTCCGGTATTATGAAACAATGATAATTTTTATTTGTAAGATGCAAGAAGAGGTGGTAAAGCTTGTATATGACATATAAAATTTGTCAATTTTGCTTTCAGAAGGTCACAACTAGCGATTTTATGATCGCTGATTGCTCACTCATCGCGTTGCTCATCGTTACAGCTAATCGCTAGTTGTGACCTTCTGAAAGAAAAATTGACAAATTTTATATGTCATACACAAACTATTGCAAGTCTGGTTTCTAATGCCATTCGAATAGAGTTAAGGGCTTGTTTGTAGCTTTCATCGAAATAATTTGAAAAATTGTTCAACAAGAACTGTCTCACAGTTGGATACTTTCCCCTACTTATGGGAACACGAAAGTTACTGTCAAAACAAGTTTTGTTGTATACCTTTGTGATAGCTTTCAAAAACTCATCGGAATGTTTTTAAAATACTTTAGTTACATTTTCTGACGCTAAGGTGTACTTGTTGGTTTAAAATCGTGTCGCCGATAAAACGGAAGAGTAGACCATATTGTTGATCAGTGCTGAAATTTGTCATTTTCATTGACAGACTTTCACGCAATATTGATAAAATTGTTTTGTCATTGACAGACTTTATCCTCCGTCAAAATCTCATTCGCTTTTCGTCAATGACAAAAAATCACCTGGTAACGAAAATTGTGTGTAATTTCGTACATTATGTGTCACATTATTGTTATCCAAGCAGTTCAGGACGTAGATGCTTGTTCACTTTAACGACTCCATGTATTTGTGTTGCTCAAGCCATTTAACTTTGTTACAAATTTAGTTAATACAACAAATCTACACATGCTCGTCACTAATAGCATTGTCATTGACAATTATTGTCATGGTTTACCTTGACGATGACTGTTAGCTCAAATGAGTGACCAAAGCAGAAATGTCAATGTTACCGTGTATTGTTAAGATTTTGCAGCACTCTTCATATCTAGATATTAAAGGGACTATCCAGATATGGAGAGATAGAGATATAGAACAAGAAAAGCCTACAAGACCGTTTGAAGGGATCGAGATAAACATCGACGTATAGAAAATAGTGATCACATATCGCGATTTAGAACATCGAGATATAAAACATCGGCGTTCATCTTTAAGTGAAATTTCATCAAGTTTTCACAGTTTTTAGTCGGACCGCAACCTTCTTCTTCTTCTTATTCTTCTTATTTTTCTTCTTCTTCTTCTTTTAGTCTTTCAACGCTCTTTTTGCGAACATTTTTTCGGTTCTCAACTTAACGAGCACTAAAGTATTTCCACAGCTATTAATAGCAGCTATGGAAACGTAATATTAAACGATGAAATGCTACATAAACTTTGGAAAAAATGCTCCTTTACTGCGTAGCTACTCAGAATTACTTTTCTTCCCCGTTTTTTTTAGTCAGAGAAGTGGAGCCATGGGAAAGCGTTCAGAATGATCTTCTTAAAGTAGCATACAAGCACCATTTTATCGTTTTTAATTGAGAGCTTAGCCTAACTTTTCTTTAAAACTTCATAAATTGTGCAATCATCAACTAAAATTTGGATGTTTTTCAGTTTAAACAATCGTAATAAACGTTCTATGACGTAGAGTTGAAATATGTGCCTTACAAAAAAAAACAAAATGCACCAAAATCGATATTCGTATCTAAAATTTAATAGTATGAGATTAAGTATATAATTAGACATTTTACGAATTTATTTTCTCTTTATTAGTAATTGAAAGTTAATACAATAAATAACTTTAGCACCATTATTTATTAAGTCAATACAAACATTGTTTATCATTTCTCGTATAGGATTTAAAAATCTATTTGTGGCTACTTAGCAGCCGTTTATAATATTAATACTTCGACTACAAACTAACCGGTTGAGTCACTGGGCCAAGTGAACTGAGCAAGTGCGTTTAGATGCAGCACCGCTTATCTCCTGGCATTGTGGAATCCGATGGACAGAACGGAGGACTAGAATCTTTGATGCAGTACGATCCAACAGCACTGAAATGATTGACAAACATCAACGCACGTTTTGAAGCGATAATGCTACAAGCATCATACCTGGGAGGCGTTTTCTGTCCCATCGGAATGGCATAACCTATCGCGTATCCGAAGCGACTTCTTGCTTGTCTTCCCGATGACGGCAGTAACACATTGGTGGGACACCTTCGGTGGCACGGTTCCGCCATTGGTTCCATACCATCATAAACGGATTGTGCCAGATAGCAGACTGCCCAAATGTGACTGCACAAGTTGATGTCTGAAACGGAGTATAGAGTTAATGCAACGAGAATTTGTTATCAATAATTACAAACGGTTAACTTGAGCTGTTGCCACAATAGGGCTGCCGACGACCACCGTTGATGCAGAAATCAATATGTCCAACTCTTCCTCCTTCTCCATAGTGACCTGCATTGGTGTGAATCACCTGAACTGACTTGGCATCCCCGCTGTCTAATCTGTTCATGTTTCCTGGTTTGACAAGTGGTCTTGCAGGGTCCAGGGCTAGAATGGAACAATGAAATAGGAAATACTATCGACAATAGTTGAAGGTACTCTAATTACCTATAATACGTTCCAGCCGGAAGTTTAGATGGTTTGCCATCAGCCCGCAGATGTGTGCACCTAGCGAATGTCCCACGCAGGTCGTCTTCTCAGCTGGAAGTCCCAACGATCGAAGCTTCATAAAAGTCTGAGCCAGGCAAGAAGCAATCGGTCGAATGTTGTACACCGCAGCAACGTAGCAAGGAGGCTGACCCAGTGCTCCCCAATCGACCAGAAACACATTGTACCCTCCGTGGTTGATGTAAGCTGGAACGAAAGGAAAACGTCACCTCAGATTAATACCGGCGTCAACCTCGTTAGTTTGGCTGTAGTACCATCCCGCAAAACCGCAATCGGTAGGGTGTCGTCTCCACCGGCGTAACCATGAACTAGAATGATGTTCTCCTTCGACGGCTCCCATTCGGTATCGTTCAGCCAATCCGGGTGATTCATTTTAAACTATGAATTGAGATAGTGTCATTATACCTATTCGAGTCTAGATTAATTTATTCAGTTTCATATATTTGGAGCTATGAAGACATCTATTTGATCTCATTACAATTAATTTACTAGCTTGATATCAAACGTTCATAGTAACGAACTGGGGATTAGAGTAGTGGCAATGAGCCCGGTTAGTGGGGCAAACGCGTGCTTGAAAACATGCAAATTGCACGCATGGGGTGCCAATCGCAATGATATGGCTAAAAATACACAAGTTGTAATATAAATAGCATACAATGATTGGTTTGACGTGATAGGGTTGGTCATATTTCACCCAGTGAGTGATGATGATGTGTGTGGTTAAGTATATCTTGAGATACTTCTTCAATGACATAATGTATAGCTTGTCGTCAATGAACTACATATGTTTCATTGACATTCATAAGCCCGGTTTTGCACATCTCAACCTTGCCCGGAGACTATCAAACCGCAGTTAAAATTCCACACCATCAAGTGGCGCCAACTATTGTGCAAGGAAGGCACACACTATCGACCGTTGGTCGGATCCCTCACAGTGGGCCCTACAAATTTGCAGCCACGAGACGGTCTGGCGGCTTACGCTGCGCTGTATTTGAGCGAGACATGCTATGGTGAGGACGGCAATTATCGGTGGAGAAGGCGAAGCCTCGATCGATCGTGGATCAAACCCGCTTACCGGCTTATGAAAAATTATTACTTTTAGTTGGTTGGTGTGGATGTGAAGACACGAAAAAAAACTTGTTCTTAGAAAACGGTGGTAGAATCGCTCCGTTGACATTGGAGCGGCTGGTCCTGTTGTGCTGCTTAGAAGTTGTTCGTTTAGGTACCGACTGTTGTTTGAAAGGGTTTAGGTGCAGTGCTTCATAGCGTTGTTGTCACTTAGTAACAAGGTGATGAAAGCTCAAGGATCAAGGCCAATCGCAATTATCGGTCAATGATCAATACTGGTTTGGAGATAATAATACTATTACTCTAGGGTGGTACCCGTGAGCTCAAATTTTACGTTGAAGAAATGTACTGCTTTTATTAGATGATGGAGTCCATGGATTTTATCGAAAACAAAAATACGGAGAGTTTCACAAGAATGTTTATAGGTTACAAAAACAGCTAAAAATATCGGAAAAACACTAAAGCATTCTGAATTGTGTAGCTTCTGCTTCATTTGCATGTGTAAATAATTTGGTGCTCGTCTGAAGCTATTAAAACTATTACACGCTTTTATTGGTATAGTTACGTACTGATGATATATTTCTAATAAGGTTTATGTATTATGGAGCAAAGATAAACCGATATTAATTTTTATCATTACTTTTGTACGTTTTTATGAGGGTAAGCGTGACAGTTATAGCACTAGTACTCCAGTTTTCTGCCCAAGGACCTAAGTAACTCAAATTTAAACCAAATGTCCATGGTTTTATTTGTGTGTTTATTGAAATATGTATCTGCTAAACTTGCATTGAAATAAATGTGGTAATGATTAAAAGTAAAAGTTGGAAATTAAAGATAAACACTGAGAATGTATTGTCATGTTCGGTAATTTTTGACCGAAATCTTAACAGCTGAACGTTTGATAAAACTTGTTTGCTTAAAAATAATTTAAAAACAAATTCAGTCATGTTCAAATGATCAAATCTTGTAATTGCAGTGGAGATTTCGTTTTAAAGTTGCTTAAAAACAATTACATTGAGTTTACCAAATTTTACCGTGGTGACGGCATCTTCTTTTCACGGCAAAACATCGAAACAAAATCACTTTCTTTTTAATATTTTAAAGCTTATGTTTACTTTAAAGTTCATCCAAAGTGTTATATTTTCAGAATTTTTTTCAATCTTTTACTAACATTTTTAAGCTTTATTTTGACAAACAAGTTTTATTATTTTTTATTGTCGGGCAAGCAGCCGATTTGATCGGTCGCATTTGTATATTAGTAACAGGACACACACACACATTTAACTGAATTATTGTTTTATCTCGAGTTGTTGGTGCAATGGTACTTGATATAAAAAAAAATATTTGCTACCCATTATGACCTCCATTGTTCATGATCCATATTTCGGTTGGTGTGATGAGCCAGGTTTTTTTCAAAGTGTTTTTATGTTACTTCATACGCGAAGTTAACGATTTTCAGAGTTGGTTGGAAATGCTAACATGAAGCTTTAATGTGATGATTTATTAGCTAGAGAATGATCTTTAGAAGAGGGTAGGTGGATAGTTCCGTTAGAGTACGGCAGTATAAAAATTGAATAGAAGTTGAAAATGAGCGAAGGGCCATTAATGCGACAGTTTTTAAAGATAGACGCACATTTTTGCCTAACCCGTACGATGTACGCGGAGACTTGAAGTATGTCTCCAAGTCTACAGGCAAAAATGTGCGTCTATCTTTAAAAACTGTCGCATTAATGGCCCTTCGCTCATTTTCAACTTCTATTCAATTTTTATACTGCCGTACTCTAACGGAACTATCCACCTACCCTCTTCTAAAGATCATTCTCTAGCTAATAAATCATCACATTAAAGCTTCATGTTAGCATTTCCAACCTACCCAGGTTTTTTGTTCGATCGAACGTAACGTTTCTTTTTTTCATGGAGTTTTTTTTTCTACAATCGGCTGATGATCTGGTCAAACCCAGGTCCAGGATACCATTTCTAGTTCTTCAGCGGGTTCACTAAGATATAAGAAGTCCTGAGCTGCATCTCATTATATCTAGTTTTAGGTCGCTGGTTTTTGCCGCTGACAAGCTGTTCCGAAGCCATGCAGAACCTCCATCGACACCTCATCATTCGTCCCATCATTCGTCGCATCATTCGTCCCATCATTCGTTCCATCATTGGTCCCATCATTCGTCCCATCATTCGTCCCATCATTCGTCCCATCATTCGTCGCATCATTCGTCCCATCATTCGTCCCATCATTCGTCCCATCATTCGTCCCATCATTCGTCTCATCATTCGTCCCATCATTCGTCCCATCATTCATCCCATCATTCGTCCCATCATTCATCCCATCATTCGTCCCATCCAGGGCTCTACATTTTCGAAGCTCTAAAATGAACTCGTGTTTTGTTTCTCTCATACATACGTGTTCGACGCTTCCTTTCTATAACGCCTAGCTAGACTATCAGCAAGAAACGAAAATAAAAAAGCAGGACGCTTAGAAGGAAAGGCTGGCTGTGGAACTTCTCGTCGTTGCTTTGCTCATCGCTTTCAATGTAACTAATGTCGATTTTCTAGTTAAACGAACCTCATTATGGCTTTCAATCCCCTTTCACGAACACTCTATCACCGCTCTTTCAATTTGTTTAAAATGCGTTATGTCCCGTTTTTGATCATTTTTTTTAGATAAATATATGGATGGAAGATAAATTAAAAATATTACGTGTAATCTTCACGTAGTTTCTCGTGAGAAATGCTTTAAATGTGTTATTTCATTTTCCGTCATATATCTCATGAAACCTCTGTTGATGTGTTTCATGAAAGAGAAAACTATCAAAGTCGAGCGCTCTTTCGCTCATCCGTTTCACCCAAGCTTGACAGGAAGACCAATGGAGCGACGGGAGAAAGAGAGACAAGCGATTGAACATTTGTTTGTGCACGCCGACTGAGGTTCTAGAATGCTGCGAAGCTGTTCGACTTTAACAAAAAAAAGAAAGCCAGCAGTCTCTTCGTCGCATCGATTTGGTCGATTGAAGCTGATATTGTGACGCCCTGGTCCCATCATTTGTCCCATCATTCGTCCCATCATTCGTCCCATCATTCGTCCCATCATTCGTCCCATCATTCGTCCCATCATTCGTCCCATCATTCGTCCCATCATTCGTTCCATCATTCGTCCCATCATTCGTCCTCATTCGCACATCATTCGTCCCATCATTCGTCCCATCATTCGTCCCATCATTCGTCCCATCATTCGTCCCATCATTCCTCCCATCATTCCTCCCATCATTCCTCCCATCAATCATCCCATCATTCGTCCCATAATTCGTCCCATCATTCGTCCCATCATTCGTCCCATCAACTACATCCGAAGATCTTTATCTCAAATCGAGGGAAGACGTTCCATGCAAGTTCTACCCAGAGCCAGACTAGATCATGTTGGTCTTCGTCAAGCGGACTGTCTTCAATTTGGACTTCTATATCAACACATGTTGGCTAAACTTGGTGAGTTCGTTCCTTTTTGTATTTTTTTATCTTTTCAAACCGGTAACGGTGGTAGATTACCTTTTCGTGGTGCGTTACTGGTGTGCGATCTACCACCGAACTCTTGTCATGACAACTGCAAACTAAGGTTCAGTAGTCAAAGGAACACATTTTAGTCCTTGTTACTTTTTATGCTTTATTAATAGTGATAAGACTGGGGTAGTAACCATCCCCGTTATGAATTTTTATATGGTATATTCCAAATCAAAAATATTGTTTATGTTCATAGAGTATTTATAATCTTTTCCTCTTGGTTCTTCTACTTTTCCTTTCCTTTTCCTTTTCCTTTCCTTTTCCTTTCCTTTTCCTTTCCTTTTCCTTTCCTTTTCCTTTCCTTTTCCTTTCCTTTTCCTTTCCTTTTCCTTTCCTTTTCCTTTCCTTTTCCTTTCCTTTCCTTTCCTTTTCCTTTCCTTTTCCTTTCCTTTTCCTTTCCTTTTCCTTTCCTTTTCCTTTCCTTTTCCTTTCCTTTTCCTTTCCTTTTCCTTTCCTTTTCCTTTCCTTTTCCTTTCCTTTTCCTTTCCTTTTCCTTTCCTTTTCCTTTCCTTTTCCTTTCCTTTTCCTTTCCTTTTCCTTTCCTTTTCCTTTCCTTTTCCTTTCCTTTTCCTTTCCTTTTCCTTTCCTTTTCCTTTCCTTTTCCTTTCCGTTTCCTTTCCTTTTCCTTTCCTTTTCCTTTCCTTTTCCTTTCCTTTTCCTTTCCTTTTCCTTTCCTTTTCCTTTCCTTTTCCATTCCTTTTCCTTTCCTTTTCCTTTCCTTTTCCTTTCCTTTTCCTTTCCTTTTACTT